CTGCACCACAACCGGCTGCGGGCCCTGCCCCGCGCGCTCTTCCTCAACCTCAGCAGCCTCGAGACGGTGCAGCTGGAGCACAACCAGCTGGAGACGCTGCCTGGAGACGTGTTCGCGGCCCTGCCCCAGCTGACTCGGGTCCTGCTGGCTCACAACCCCTGGCTCTGCGACTGTGGCCTGTGGCCCTTCCTCGAGTGGCAGGGGCAGCATCAGGACCTCCTGGGCCGAGAAGAGCCTCCCCAGTGCCATGGCCCAGAGCTACGCGCGGGCCTGTCCTTCTGGGACCTGCTGCAGGGTGACCCGTGGTGCCCGCACCCTCGAGGCCTGCCTCTCAACCCTCCAACCGAGAACACCCTGGAAGCCCCGGTCCCGTCCCAGCTGCCCAATAGCTCTCAGTCCCGCGCGTGGGTCCAGCTGGTGGCCAGGGATGAAGGTCCCGATCATCGCTTCTACTGGGGTCTTTATATTCTGCTTTTATTAGCTCAGGCCGTCGTAGCCGGGATCATCGTGTTTGCCATGATTAAAATCGGCCAGCTGTTTCGATCATTAATCAGAGAGCGGCTCTTGTTGAAGGCAATGGAAAAATCTTGTAACTAATTAAGACGTGACCAGGGCATTGTGGACGGGGCCCCAAGGAGAATCTAGTCAGTATTCTTTTCCCACGCCTGTTCTCCTCTCTCCTGCTCTTTCTTCCTCAGTTCATTCTTTCAGGATTCCTTCTCCCCAGAACTGCCTTTTATGAATCGCTACTGCTTGCTAGCGTGGCCTCGGTTTCCTTCTCTGTTGTTAGTTTCCGAGTGGACGTGGGGGAAGGAAACTTGGCTTGTGTTTGGCTCACCCGGTTCTACTGTGAGGCACTGGGTGCCTAGAGGAGAGAGGAGCTCCTTCTTAGTTTCTGAGTTTGAGGTCACTCCTCCTAGGTGGGCAAGACCTCTTCTTCACCCAGCAAAAGTGAACATTTGCTGAAGGAACACCTGCAGAAAACGACCCCTAGATCCCAGAGATGATGGCTTTTCCCAGGAGAATGCTGGAGTCTTCTTGTCCCTTTCTATTTGAAAGGAGAATGATGTCCGTTCTTTTTTGTTTTCATTTTGAGTTCGTTCTGCGGGCTGTTTGGGAGGGCGCTGGACTCTGATCTAGCGACGAATTTCAGGGCAAGCCTCCTGAGATGGGCTGAGCTATGACACACGGGAGCTCCCATCCTCACCCCAGGGACAGCCAGTTCCTGCCACCCACTCCTGACCTGACTAGAATGGTTTTTGCCACTGGTATGGTGAGCTCTCATGTGTCCTGGCTCAGCCCTTCACAGAGGAAAGAGGCTTGTTTTGAAATAGAGGCTCCACAGAAACCAGAGCCTATCTGAGGTGTTCCGGGAAGCTTGGGGAGCTTCTCAGTGTGTCCTATTGGCCTCCTGCGAGTTTCCATTGCTTTGCACCGGGGAAATGTGTCATTTGGTTCCCATATCCTAGAGGTAAGTGCCACCTCATTTCACAAGCATTTATGGAGCTGTGACCATGTGATAGTGTTCATGAAGGTAATGATAGCTTGGTTTCCATGCACCATGCTTGTATCATATTTTTATTTATCCTTCCAATTGAAAGCAATTAAACCCTTGTTGCCTTAATTGGCTGTCTGCTTGTGAGAGGCAGTGGTTAAACACATGCACTGGAAGCTGACAGCTGGCTCTTCAGTCTCAGTGCCCCGGCTTCCTAACCCCACGACTCTGCACACACATTGTGTAAACCTGGGCTTCCTCATCCCTGAAAGGGATGCTGTGAGAACTAAAGCTAATAAAACATACAAAGACTTTACCCTTACCCCGGATACAAACACTGCCCAGTGAATGGGAGTTACTACTAAAGAGTATGCAGTTATATTCTCACCCTACCCCCCACACACACCCTCATAGTTTTGTGATACTGTCTCACTATGCAGCATAGGCTGCTTTTGAACTCGAGATCCTTCTGTCTCACAGTCCCAGGCTCTGGGATTATAGGCTTGGGCCACCACACTCAGGTGGTATCATGCTTTCTAAGGAAGATATTTCCCCCTCTATATATAAAAGAGTAAACTTTTTCAAACTGGAGCTCTAGCCAAACAGCTCTATCTGTCTACATGTACAGCTATGGCCTCAGTCCTGTGCACTTGCTCGGGTTCTGTGCTTGCAGGCTACAGGCATGGATCCTCCCAGCACCATCAGGGGCATGTGGAGGAAGAAGAACTGGATTCTGACATCTGTCTGCCTGTACTTCTTCAGCTTCAAATCTTGCCTCCTTGCTGAAGCCCTCCCTATTCCTCTCTGTGTGGTTCCTGTACTTGCTGCCTCTCAGGTGCTGGGCACCACCCTCAATCTAGTCCTGGGTGTGATTTTAGAGTAGCTGTTTAATTAGCCTCTTTTTCTATAAACTCATTGGACAATTTCTGTCTTGTTTATTTCAGAAATTTGGAGCCATTGATATCTTAAAATCCAGATTTTTTTTTTTTCATGAAACTCAGACTCTGTTCTAACTACTATTCTCTGAGGCGGGCTTTCTAGCATGAAGCCTGTTTTCACCTGTAGGATGAGGGTGACAGTTGTCCCTGCCAGTGCTTCAAGGACCACATGAGGTAGTTCCTGCCGGCTAAAGACATGGGCTGGTCCCTAGGGCCCAGTGGCGGCTGTTTTGATCAGCTATTCTGGAATCCACTGTGTTCTAACGTTTCTCTCTGCCTCTTCGTGTGGTACTTCATTTGGCAAATTGATTTACTATTCTCCACCAACCACTCTGGTAAGTGGAGCATCAGAGCCATGAGTGAAACAATGCCCACTTCCCCGGGGTTATAACCAGGGGTCCCACCAGCCGTGAGGTTGTCCCAAACTCCAGGACATTCAGAACCAAGGTGTGGAGGACAGTTTCAGACACTTCAGCCGGTTTCATGAAATATTCATTCTTCGCTCTATTTGATTCAATTTTTTAAGCATTGTCAAAAACAACAGATAATATTGAAAACCCGTGTGTAATCTCTTCCCAGCTTTATCCCTTTTTCTCTTTATCAAGCAATAAAGCTACTCAACAAATGTATTTCACATCCTTATATGTGTTTTCACATTTGGCACATCTTCTATTTTCACCTTAATGATGCTAGCCTACATACAATGGTCTTCAGCTTTTCCTGAGCTAGGATACGTTTGAAACTTATCAGTATGATGATTTAGCTCTAGGACATTTGACGTTTATATAATAGTCTATTGAATGAATATACTATGACTTGACTTACTGCTTCCTTTTTGTTAGTTTGTTTTGGGTTTGGGTTTTGTTTTGAGACAGGGTCTCTCTGCATAGCTCTGGCTGTCCTGGAACTCACTGTGTAGATTTGAGTTCCTAGACATCTGCCTGCTTCCCCAGCACTGGGATGAAAGGTATGTGCACCAACTCACTTGGCTACCTCTTCTTTTGTCCTTCCTTCCTTCCTTCCTCTCTTCCTCCCTCCCTCCCTTCCTTCCTTCCTTTCCTTCCTTCCTTTTATAGTGGTTATATTCTGCAGCTCATGCTAATGTTGGATTTTTTATATTTTAGTGAATCTGAGAGATATAATATAGTTTCTTTAGAAATGTATTGTCTTTGTGTGTGTGTGTGTGTGTGTGTGTGTGTGTGTGTGTGAATGCCACTGTGTGCATGCAGAGGTCTGAGGACAGCTTGTCAATTCTATTCTTTCCTTCACTGGGCAGGCCCCTTTACCATTTGAATCATTTCCATGACTCTAAAATAGGTTCTCAGGTGGAGAGATAGCTCAGAGGTTAAGAGCACTGACTGTTCTTCCAGAGGTCCTGAGTTCAATTCTCAGCAACCACACAGTGGCTCACACCCATCCGTTATGAGATCTGGTGCCCTCTTCTGGTGTGCAGATATACATGAAAGCAGAATGTTGTATACATAATAAATAAATAAAATCTTTAAATAAAATAAGATAAAATAGGTTCTCATTTCTTTTTCCTCAGTGTTTTTTGTTGTTGTCTTATAATGTCTTATAATGTTGTTTTAAACATGGATATTCTTTTCTGCATATGTATATTGATCAATTTACATTGGGTTACTTTGTCCTTATTGATTTCTATGATTTTTTTTCACATATGGACACTAATCTATAAGATGCATGTGCTGTAAATATCTTTTTTCAGTTATGGCTTTTTTTTTCTCATTTTGTTTTTGCTGTTTGTGATACTGTCACACATGCTATACAAGGTCTTCATCACTAGGACCCCAGCTCTTATATTGGACTATCTTATATCTGGCAATAACCCCAACAATTGCCACTTCCTATTAAGACCTTATACCCAACGTTCATTTATTTTTACACTTAAAGACCTTGTCGGCACTGGCTAACACAGGACTGCCACCTTGACAGTAAGTGACACCAAAGTTCATCATAATTTCCTGACCAGCTGTTTCCTTGGTAAACAAACAAGTTTGTTTACAGAGCTCTAGTTTCCTCAAACTCTACTTTGCACTGAGTACTTTTAAAAATCATGAGTGGATGTCAAGTATTAGCAGATTTTGCCACATCTGTTAAGATTCATGCATGTTTTTCTCCTTCGGGATGTTGAAATGGTAGATTACTTTATAAATTTCTATGCCTGCATTTTGAAATTTTCTTAGGGTCTGAAAGCTCATTGATTTTGATTTTTTTAAAGATCCTTTTAATTTCTATAAGGTTTTGATGTACAAATATGTTCCTTCTGAGATGTCTTTATTGTTTCTTATTCCTCTTGAGCCCTTGGTTATTACTTCACATTTTAAAACTGAATCAAGAAAAATAATCAACTTTGGGAGCTCTGATAGATATAATATAGTTTCTTCCGAAATGTATTGTGTGTGTGTGTGTGTGTGTGTGTGTGTGTGTGTGTGTGTGTGCGCGTGCGCGCGCGCGCGCGCGCGCACTCGCGTGTATTTAATGTTGCTTGTACAGACATGTCCAGATCTGACTGCTTGGGATTGGGACAACCTATGTGGGAGACGGTTCCTAAAGGAAATGGACCCTCTCCCCCAGTCTCTCACCAACCATTGGCCACCTGTAGCTTTCCATCTAGGGGCAGGATCTTGTGGAATTTCTCCTGTGCATGTTGGCAAGGCAACTGGTGTTGTCATTATGCTGCCTTGTCCAGTTGATCATAGTGTTGAGAGTTCGTGGATGCAGTTTTCCTGTCATGTATACCTAGGGTTTTGGACTTCATTTGTTTATGGGAAGTTTTATCTAAGACTTTGTCATCTCTTTAAATAACTTGTTTGTTTTTTTTTTTTCCTGTTCCCCTAGGCAGGAAGCAGAAGAAGCTGTTCTACACTAGCTTAAAAAATAAATCGATGGCTCCCGTCCTCACATCTCATACCTGTTTTCAGGCCTCAGTGAAGTTCTGTTAGGAAGATGGCATCTGTCCACCCACACTGGCTATGGCTTCCTCCTCACCTACCACTCCCTCAAACTGTTCTGGTTCATAAACCTGATGGAATATGAAGTCCATTGATAACCCTCTCCACTGCCTGTGACATTGAGCCTTATGCCATCTCAACCATCCAGATGCAGTCCTTGGAAATGGAGGCCATGTCTGATACTAAGTCTATCCATTTCTCTTCTCCAAGTCTATAGTTCTAGAAGTTTCCCTGTCTTCTGAGAAGAACCAGGTCCTCCTTACCCTGGGGCCCTCCTGTACTATGTTTTCCATCCACCCCCAACCTCCCATCGTGGGGTGTGCTTGACTTAGCTTCCTAGAACCTCAGTAGATGGGGGTCTGGACCTCTGTGGATGTTGGAACTGACTCGGTCTATTCTGGGAGAAGTTTCTCTGAGCTTCCCAGCCTTTAAAAATCACCATTCCTTCCAGGGTGTGCCACAGGCAGGGAGGTTCCAGGACTCACTACCCAACAGCCTGACCCCCTTATTAGGCCCTGGAATGTTACAGGATGATGCAGCAACATCATAAAGAAACAAACATTAATTGAGTCCAGTGGCTGGGCTGGAGTGAGAGGCTGACACCTGGGGGGAGAAAACAATGAGCAGCCTCCACCCAGTGATCCTCAGCCCAGCCCTCTGCCCTGTACTTGCCTGGCCATGGTGTCAGTGATTCCTGGGTTTTATTAGTCAGCACAGGCCCTGATGTTTCTAAATCCAGCCCTTGGGAGAGCTCTATTTCAGGGGCTGTGCAGCCGATCGATGTACCTTTAGTGAACACTAAGCACATCCTTCATTGTGTGTGATCTTAGTTGTCCCTTCCAACCACCCAGTGGGTAGGCAATATTAGCCCTCTTTATGGCTGATAAGAACCTGAGGTCCAGAGTGGAAGAGTAAGCTCCTTGGTGACAGGAGAGCTGTCACGGGATCACCGGTTTCCCAGCTACCAAGTGCCCGCACCTATTTATCCTGGCATGGACCAGACCAGCTGTTACGAGGGCCTCTCAATCAAGGGACTCATGTTCATGGTCAGCCATACTGACCTAGAGGCTCTAGTCCTTCAAGCCTGAAAGGAACTCCCTGGGAGCTGAATATTGGGGAGAGGGAGGCTTGACTTTTGATGAGAAAGAAAAGGAAATCAGATTATAAAAAGAAAAGGGATGGAAAGAAAGTAAAGATTCTAAGGGTGGACCATGGTTAACAGCAGCTATAGGCTCCCTATCCAGTAGGAGCCAAGGCCCACAGCTCTCCACTCTTCTCAGGTGTTCTGAGTCAAAGATGTTAAGGCAAAGACAAGTGTCCGTTTCGCACAGAAGCTCTGTTGGTTAGGGAGGAGTCCCCCTGTCACTGCTCACCAGGATAGCAAACTTGTGGCAGCTCAACTCCCTCCCTCCATCCTAGAGACATGGGCCAATAAAGTGACACCGAGAAAGGAGGCATATGGAAGGTTTTCTGAGCAAACCTTTCCTATGTCCCTCCTGTGTCCAGATATTCCCACGGCCAAAGCTCCCTCCCTCCCTCTCCCACAGAGATACCTGGCTTAAGTTGCCAGAACCCTGGAAGACGAGAAATCCAAGCCCACATCAATTTACTTTTAATAGCATGAAAAGAGAAAAGAAAATGCCACTGTTTTTAGTCCCCCTTTAAGCTCAGTTTAGACTCATCTTCAGCTCGGGGTCTGAAAAGCTGATTTGTAAGTAGAGGAGACAGTATCGATGAAATTCA